TAGATGGCCATAGACCTTACAAACGAGAGGGTACCATATTGTCACGATTCGACAAGTTAATCAGATAGCACATGGTTCGCTTACCTTTAGAAACAATTTACAATCGTACTCGAAACACAAAACCCTTGACACCTTCCCTTTCGTACAGTATATTTATTCGACACCGTAATGCAATCAACAACTAAAAGTAAACAAACGCGACGGCCATAGTAGTTAGACCTGTTATCTCCGGCTGTAGAGCTACTCAGCATAACTCCCGGTGATCCTGAACCATAGGCAACCAACCATACAGTTTTGTATGGGTGAACAGGAGGAGGTTTAGGAAAGGGAGATTTTTGAGGTCCTTGGGTTACCAAGAGGCTAAGGGTAGCCTGTAACCACTAGGACCGTTACAATAGAGAAAACGGAGATATTTGTGTTAAGGGTAAAAGTCCAGGTCACCCTAAGCTAGTGTCAGCAAGAAATCAACAATCTCTTATAAAATTGTGCAAAAAAGGACGAAGAACTACGTTACGAGACATTACGGCACGTGGAACGAAGAGTCAGGATTAAAACTCGCGCGAGAATGTTGCAGACAATGGATACACAAATCTGGACTAAAATTTTATAAGGTTGTCATAATAATTCAACAAACTTTTCATTTGAGAATATTGTTTTATCACACAACGGCTAAGGAAAAACCACTTCTTACCACAAAACAGAAGAAAAACAGATATCAATGGACGAAATCTAAGCTATCATGGACTGTAGACGACTGGTCAAAAATTATATTCAGCGATGAATCAAAATTCGATGTATGTTTGGGTGATTTTCGAAAACGGGTAATCAAATCCAAAAATGAAGCTTTTCACCCAGATTGCATTAACCTGCTGTCCTGTTCGGGTCTATTTGACCCAAAAACAAATTCATTTCTTATTTTAAAGAATACCGCGCGGTGTAACGCTATGGTATTGCATGACTTTGTTCGTTAGTGTACAAGGTTTTATTTTCGAGCGATATAAAAATTTTACTTCCGCTATTATTTTTTAAAAAGTGAATTGTTACCTATGTATTGTTTGGGTCAATATGACCCGAGTGAATATAATAGCAAGAATTGCATAATACACTTATTTTTAATTGACATTATTCTAAATAACGTAAACATAGGTATTTGTCTATAGGATTTGTGTGAAAAGAAATAGATCTCGGCAAGTAAGAACTAGCCCTTGCTAGACGAAAGCTGTTGAACAACGTCGATAGCGAATCTCGAAATTTAAACTGAATTCAGTACGTTTGCATATTTTGATTGAGAATGCCGTATGAAAGACTTTTTTTTTACATGAAACATGTATTTTTGTTAATAGAGTTTAATACATATTAGATGAATTTATTTAAATAACCACCACCCCAAACCTTTGACGGGTCATATTGACCCGAACAGTACGTTCGTGCAGTGAATCTGAACAGGACAGCAGGGTTAAACGTACCGTGAAATTCCCAAAAGGATTTATGATATGGAGATGTATGTCGGCGAAAGGTTTGGGATACTTTGAGGTTATCGACGGTACTGTAAACGCAGAGAAATACCAAAACATTTTAAAGAATAGGCTTCTTCCGAGTATCGAGAAGCTGTATGGCGAGGAAGATTTTGTTTTCCAGCAAGACGGAGCCTCTTGTCATACAGCCAAATCAACTCAAAAATGGCTCTCTGAGAATGGGATCACAGTTTTGTCATGGCCTTCTAGTAGCCCAGACCTAAATATTATTGAAACCCTTTGGCATAAGATGAAGCAGCAGTTACGAAACAATGCTCAAAGAACAGTTCCAGATTTAAAGTCAAAACTGGGAGATATGTGGACTGAATTTACACCTGAGTTTTGTAAAACGTTAGTAGCAACTATGCCTGCCAGAATAGCAGCGGTTGTAAAGGCGAAAGGAGATGTAACACCGTATTGAACTAAACATCCTTGGTTTTGTCCCAACATATAGTTACCGTTACCGCTCCTATTAAATAATCCTAAACGAAAAATTTATATATATATATATATATATATATATATGGTGTGTTTTTTTCATTTTAAGCATTGGGATCTCGGAAACCATAAGACATACAGATTCGGTTAAATGAGGAAAGAGTTGTCGTTTTAAGAACTTATTTAAGATATGCTTTTGATTGTTGAAAAACTCCACAGTTCACTAGATTTGAGCGAAAAACAGATTTAGTGATTTTGCATTTAACTGTTGTAGAATCATCATTACATTAAGTGACGGACTGGAAAGTCTAAAAAGTTGAGGACCTTATTATTTTCTTTTTCAACCGTGAATTTAATCTGGGGGTGGAGACTGTTCAAGAAATCAAAACACTTTTCTATTTCTTGATCACTCCCTTTGAAAATGGCAAAGATGTCGTCTACGTAGCGTTTGTAGAACAAAAAATGATTTTTGATCGTATTATTGTTGAAGATTTTGTTGTTTTCGAGATCGGCTAAAAATAGCTCGGCAAGTAATTATAAATATGATTATATGATTTTCCCACCATGGAGAATAAAGTGTTCTAGGCCAACTTTAGTAGTAACTGGAACAATGTCTGGCAATTTAGAAACAAGTGCATCCTTTACTTTTATAATTAGTTCTTCTAACTCATCAAGAACATTACATCTAGATGGATCCATGATCTGTTCAACTGATGCTTCAATTTTGTTGTGTAAACCTATTGCAACTGGGATAAAAATCATAGAATCATATTATATAAAGACTGGTCCTTGATCATAAGAAAAAATTCCCTTTTCTTCATCGAAAAAGTGAGTGGATATCTCATTCAAGTTCATCAAATCTATACCTTCTGCTGATGGAAAAACCCGTGAGACAAGCTTGAGATAAGAAAAGATATAATTAAAAATGATCATCTTGTTATTCACTTTGATTTAAACAATTCGTTAATCCTTAATGGACGTCTGTTATCAACAACTTACTGGCCTTCCTATGGGCAGCAACCTCTCTCCATTACTTGCCGAGCTATTTTTAGCTGATCTCGAAAACAACAAAATCTCGATATTGCGTCTCAGTCTTCTTCCCCCTTTAAATTCTAATTGACAGTGCGCTGTCTTCTCACACGCATTTCGTCTTTATCCGGGAAGCATGGCTCTAAGCGGTGCGATTCCCTTTGAATTTCATAAGTCTTTTTATTAATTACAATGGGTGTGATTTTCTGTTGTTTTTTGTTTTGATTAATTACCTATCCCGTAAGTACTCTATTATTAAGATCTTGATTCCTAACCTTAATTTTTCAGCATTTTCACTTACAACTTCTTCTTCAGAGTTTAATCTGGTTTCCAGTTTGTTTTGTCCTTGTGGCTTGTGGTAAGTTTGGAGACAGTTTTCTATGGGTCTTTATCATGTTTTTTACACTTTCCTTTCAGATGGTTTGTTATCACTTGTCCTTTGTTTTCGTCATGTTGGCCTTCGGCTTTTGGATTTTTAGTCAGATGGAGATGTTTGGTTATCCCGTTACTCCTTTTAACCTTTTTGAATTCCGACGATGCCTTCAGCCTCGTACACCGGATCTTTTTTCATTACTTTTGTAAGTCTTCTTGTGTAGTCTGGTTTTTACTTTAACGTCTGTTTTTAATGACACCGTTTCACGTTACCATTCCGACGAAGGCTTCTGCCTCGTACACCGGATCTTATGACCATTATAACTTTTGAAATTTGTTAAGTTTAACCTCTTTGTGATAACTAGTTCTTGTAAGTATTTTGTTTTATTGCTTGTTTTTACTCTACGATTTCAGTTACCTGAGGATGACATGGTTATGTCGAAACATGTAATATCGTCAGCTTAATTGTAAAAGCTCGTAACTCCAATTTTTGTGAAAATTGCATTTTAGCACCATCTGACGGACAAAAATGAATGCTATTGTTAAGAAAAGCTGGCAAGTCCATAAAAATTCGACATTAGAGAAATCACCATCAGCGTAAAACACGTAAATCCATACGTTTTAAAACTGACATTGTAAAACACGTATCTCCACCTTACTCATTAGTAAGGTTATTGTAGTGTAAACATGCGGTGTGGTGTTGCGCTCATTTATTGATACTAACTACTTTTGCTGCACTAAATTAATAGTTTTTGGAAGTAGCTAAGAGGTAAGTTGTAGCCTTATTGCTTTTGTTAAAATTTATCAGTTCTGGGAGTGATAACTCTGTAAAAAATCCCGTTAAAGTCTTAATTTGGATTTAGGAGTTTTACTCTTTTAAGGTATTATAAATTATTTATTAATTTAACAGAGTTACGATAAATTCTACTTACGAGCATTACAGACTTATTGTCATAGAAGAAATAATTCTAAGATAAGGTTTCTTGGAAAGACAGTATAACTAATCAATTCATTGCTTCCGTGTGTTTACAGGACGTCGCGTGGAAAAAAGTGCGTCAGTTTGGCTTTAGCCGGAGAAAATGACCCTCGGGCCATTTTAATGAGTAAGGCAAGTTCAATGGCGTCAACTTCTACCGGCGGTTTTCAGAAATTGTCCTATGATGATGGTTTACTTTTTGAGTCAGAGACGGCGATTGATATTATGAACACCCCAATTATTATAGAAGATTTCAATAGTGAATTACTAATAGACAACAACCAGCACGATTTTATAATAGGTACTACCAACAACCAACAGACAATTCCAATAGCCTTAAGCAACAACACCTGCGATGTCCGTAACCAAAATAGCGAACCCCCACCAGCTTCCTTTGATGATGCTGAAAATGATGCAGAATTTTTCCCTGATAGTGACGAAGAAATGGATCAAAATTCTTCAGAAATTGACATTAGTGTCTTGCAGGATGATGAAAGCGACGCACCTATTAATGAACAAGTACAATCAAGAATTGTTGAAGGGGATATACTACGTGAGAAAAATCTGGTGGCGTACAGTGACACTGAAAGTGAACAAGATGCCGTAGAAGATGACATACCGGAAACTGAGATGATAGAAAGTAAAAGAAAGAGACGTAAAAGACACGAAGTTAATGAATCTACTTGGAATTCAAGAAAAGTGAAACAAGATAGAGAGAAAGGTTTGAAATATTGTGGCAGAAAGAAAATAGATGGCAAATGGAGATACAATGTTAAAAAGGATGAAAGAGTGCTTAAAGATAGATGCAAATGTATTTTGACAGATCAAGGGGCGTTAAGGTGTGGAATGTTTACAGAAGAAGATCGACAACAAATTTTTAAAGAGTTTTGGTCAATGTCATGGAAAGAAAAAGAAATATATACTAAACTATTGGTTACTATGAAATTAACATCGAGAGCAAGGGGCAGAAAAGTAGAAAACAAGTCAAGAAGAAAATACACAATTGAATATTACTTAAGAAGACGCGAAGATAGATTAAAAGTTTGTAAAAAAATGTTCACAAACACACTGAGTGTAGGTGAGTGGACGGTCCTAAATTGGAAGAAAAGGAGTGCATCAACCTTAATATCTAAAGACACCGAATCAGATAATGACAATTCAAAACCACCGACACATAATGAGCAACCAGAAACGTCCAATCGTTACACACTTAGACAGAAACCGTTTGCAACTCGAATTGAGTCCTTGGACAACTTTTTTTCCAAATTACCTAAAATGGAATCACATTACTGCAGAGCAAGTTCACAAAAACTTTATCTAGAACCTCTGTGGAAATCCAAAAATCAGTTGTATCAGTTTTATGTAAGTGAATGGTGCAAACCGAAAAATGAAAGACCCTTATCTTTAGCCACCTTTTTCCACACTTTTGACCGAAAGAATCTTAGCCTGTTTCGTCCAAAAAAAGATGAATGTGATACCTGTGTAGCTTACAAGACTGGTAATTTAACTGAAGAGGATTATGCCATTCACACAGCCAAGAAAGAAGAGGCACGTGCCGAAAAGGAAGCGGATAAAAATAATGAGAAGTATGTATTTACGATGGATCTACAATCCGTTCTTCTTGCACCTAAATCCAATGTGTCTAGCTTGTACTTTAAGACAAAATTAATGGTGCATAATTTTACAGTGTACAACTTAAAATCGAAAGAGGGCACCTGTTATTTGTGGAATGAGACAGAGGGCGCACTCACTTCACACGACTTTTCTTCTATAATCGTAGACTTTCTCTTAAAATCACTTCCAGTAGATAACGACAACAATAAAATCATTTTGTACAGTGACGGCTGCACGTACCAAAACAGGAACGCGATCCTAGCTAATGCACTTTCAAATGTTGCCATCCTGTATAACATTACAATTGAGCAAAAAATTTTAGAGAAAGGCCATACACAGATGGAAGCCGACTCCATCCATTCCACCATTGAACGTCACCTAAGAAACAAAAATATCAACGTACCTGCTGATTATGTAGATGTTTGCAAAACCGCACGTCAAAATCCAAAACCCTATACAGTTTACTACTTAGATCATAAGTTTTTCAAAAATTTCAGCAGTATTCAGTTCTACAATTCCATTCGACCTGGAAGAAGCCCAGGAGACCCAGTTGTGACAGACATCCGAGCACTGCAGTACCAACCAGATGGTGTTATTTGTTACAAATTACGCTTTCCCGATGAATGGACTCCACTGCCGATCAGAAAAAACAAGAATCTATTGGCTAAACCAATAGTCGATTTGCCCCATTTATATAAGGAGAGACTTAAAATTAAAAAAACAAAATATCAACATTTACAATTTTTAAAGCAAAGTTTGACCGCAGATTACCACCTATTTTATGACAACTTGCCTTACGACGATTAAATTAAATTAAATTCTTCGTTTTCTTTGATATTATGTAGTTCTGTTTGCGTTTAAGAATAAAGAATTTAGTTTGACAATATCATTATTCTCAATTATTATTCCCAAAACATTAATTAATCATACCACGTAACTCCACAATTGTGCCTATTTTTTTCACACCAAAACACGTAACTCCTCTATTAATGCTTCTTAAGCTAATTTTTACCTATAAATCAAAATTGGAATCTAATCGTTTACTCTAAAAGGTTTTAGTAAGCACAAATGATTTTAAAGGAAAATTAAAAAAAATAAGCAGTTTTTTGCTTCCCCTGAAAAATTTACTATTTAGGAGTTACGAGTATTTACAATTAAGCCGACGATATATGTTAAATTTTAATAATATTAAAGAATATATGGGGAAGGTATAAATATTTTCTCATATCGATGACGACTTATGTTGATGACGTAATTTTTTGTTTCTATCGTTTCAAATGTAATGAAGAGAGAATCACATTTATGACATCATTTTCAGCACCCGTGAAACAAAGTATATAAACTTGAGTGAAGAATAGACACATTTGCCAATTCTACCTTACGAAAGGCTTAAAGGCAGAGAAAATTATCAGGACTGGAAATTTCAAATGAAAAGTATCCTCAAACTCGACAACTTATGGCATGCTATCGAAGGCTACTTTGCCAATGATTCGACATATGTATAACTTAAAGCTAGAAGAGACGAAAAAGCCTTAGCTAAAATTAGTCTAAGCGTTGACAGATCAGTTTTTCCATTAATAACTTCTGCTAAAACAGCGAAGGATGCGTGAAATTCTTTAAAAAAGGCTTACTCTGATGAAGGTCTAAATTCGAGATTAAAAATCTTGAGGAGACTGTGTAATATAAAATTAACCCTCTTTAAGTCAATGGAGGATTATGTAAATGACACTCTAAGTCTATCTCAACAACTATTAGATGGGAAAACCCCTAGATGATGAATTTTTAGATGTGGTTATGCTTTCTGGGTTACCCGAGGAGTACGACCCGCAATGGTTATGGCTCTTGGAAAATTCAGGAGCAGTGACCTTATCAAGCAGAAATTGCTCCAAGATGATAAAATGGAAGCTCATCCAGTAACCAGCTAAAATGGATCGAGCATTGCTTTCCAACAGGAAACCTTGGTGCTCCTATTGTAAAAGGCACAATCACTGGAAATCGGACTGCAAGAAACTAGCTGTCAAGCAGACTTCCACAACAGCTAGCGTAAATGTGTATAAAAAAGCCTAGTATCGACAGTGCGAGGCTGCTCGCAGCGAATGCCTCGTGGCGAATGCTCGGCTTTGCCTCGGACTGTGGATACCGGGGTTGCTCACTATGAGGCGTTCGCGTCGCACAATTCGTGGCGAGCCGTGGGCTTGTCGGTAAAAGAGCAGTGCTCAAAGGTGCCTCGCTCCGAGCTGTGCGTCAAGTGGATACCGCTGTCAGCCTCGCACCGTACAATAGACAATTCTGCACTGCAAACCACCAAATACCTGCACAACGAAACTGCCATCATGGATAATCATGACGTGATTAGAGAATTAGTGAAGTGTTATGAAAGTAAACGTGTATTGTGGGACTCGAAGCACCCTGAATATTATAATAAAAACAAGAGAGAAGACTTGTGGCGCGAAATATCGGTATCAATGAATATTTCGGTGAAAGAACTGAAAAAGAAGATGACGTCTTTGTTGGGCTCTTACCGACGTGAAAAGTCCAGGGAAAAGAAAAGTCAAGTTACAGGATCAGGTATGTTTTTAATCATTATTTTACTACGTAATATCATTAAAACATTTTTTCATTTGTGTACAGTACACTTAGTTGGATTTTTGACGTGATTTACAGTACTCATACTATTGACTAAGGAACAATACCCTAAAGTTTGTAGCGAGAGTTCTGAAACGCCCTGTAAGTTGGAATTATACTATATAACTTAAGTTGGCAAGAAATTGAATTGAGTTTTAATGTTACTGGTCAAGGAGATGTTTACCAGTCAAAATGGTTTGCATACACATGGTTTGGCTTTCTTTGTGATAAGGACATGCCAAATGACCAACTCGATACAATGGATAATGTAAGTACATTTACAAAACATTTTTTTGTGGAAGCTTTAAAAATAACGATGTAAAAACAAACCATTTTCATTCAACAACCACCCAATTCATTGTCGTTTCTACATGTACCCGGGAAACATCAGTAGTCATTTTGCCATGGAATTGAGCCATTAGTGGCAAAGTGCTCAGCCAGATGGATTCGGATGTTTTTTGATGTCATATTTGCTCTTCGAGGTGTCTGTCCAATTGGGATCATGCCACGGAATTCATCGTTGTTTCTCCATGTACCTGGAATAAATTGTCCATTTTCCTCTCTGTCTAAGAATCCAGCCGGTGTGTAGATATGATTTACAGTAGATCGTTTTCGCAAAAAATTGTGTAAATATACAACTGCTAAAACTACTTTCTTAGCCTTCTCAGGTTGTAGTAGTATTGGTGTTCTCAATACCCGAAATACAGAACTAGCTACTCCAAAAGCATTCTCTACGACCCTACGTGCTCGGGATAGGCGGTAGTTAAAAATTCTTTCAATAGAACCAACTTGTGGAGTACCTTTAAATGGTGTCATAGTATATCCATTTAACTCAAATGCTTGATCACCTAATATAATATAAGGTACCTTAATACTGTAAGGAATTTGTAATGCTTTTGGGTTTGGTATGTTCAGTTCCTTGTTTTCTAATTTGTTGTACAATGTCGTATTTTTGAAAATGCCTCCATCTGAAAATCTAACAGGGCAGCCAACATTAACATACAAAAAATTGTAGTTGGCGTCAACTAATGCAAAGAGCACAATACTAAAAAAACCTTTGTAATTATAATACTCAGTGCCACTGTTCCATGGTGCTTGAAGCTGGACATGTTTCCCGTCCATTGCACCTATTACATGAGGGAAGTTCCACTTCTCTTCGAATTCCTTTGCCACAGCTAACCATTCCTCATTAGAAGAGGGTAGCTAAAATAAAAGACACATCATTAATTTAAAAGCTAAGGAACGCCGACTAGTGAGTAGTATTTATAAAAAACAATTTTACAGGATTCAAAATTTCATTTGGCAAGTCTTGGAATTTTAGGCCTCCATTATAAATCTCTTATGAAAGAGCACCCTATCAAACATTGTATTTGTAATGTTTATTTTGTTGACAGGCTAATACGCAAAGGGATCCTGAGGAAACTCGAGAAGAATCAAACAATGATGAATCTATTGTCGATGAACCCACAACGGTCGAAGATGAACCACCGGAGTCTACTAATACAACGATGGCGTCTACAACTGCTACGGCGGTGTCTACGAGTACAGCGACGGTGCCTACTTCTAACATGTACCAAGGTAGGAAAAGACAACGTCGCAATGATGCTGCTGATACTGCACAAAATCAAATGCTAATTGATGCATACTCCATTTTGAAAAAGACATCGGCTACTCCTACTGACCACTATGAAACGTTTGGAATGCATGTTGCAAGTGAACTCAGGAAATATGACAGCAACACTCTTCCTCATGTGAAGAGGGCAATATTAGATGTGTTGTTCAGAGCAGATATCGGAGAATTTACCCCCAATCACAACGTCCGTAACACTTCTGGGTACTACAATTCAAATTTCACTACACCGACTTCGTCTCGAGATAGTTACCCTCCAACTCCTACTCCTTCAAATTCCCAATGTATACTTGTTCAGGACCTTGATTCAAGGCCTCCACAACAAGAAGACACCTTAGTAACCTACTTGACTAACATAAATCCTGAAATTTTAAATCCTGAAGAAATGTAATAACATGACATGTTGTTATATGCAAGCTACATTGTTTAACATTACAATATATTGATTTTTTGAAGTAAATTGTTTTCTTACCTTTATGTAGTCCCTTAGGGCTTCAATAAGTGCATCACATACTTCTGGAACAATCACAGATATTCGTTGTTTGGATATGCGAAAGAGGTATTGCAAACTTGTAAATGAATCTCCAGTTGCTAGGAATCTCAGAATAAGAGCTAATCTTTCCTTGACGGTAATAGCACTTCGCATGTACGTGGCACGTTTTTTCACGGCAGGCTCTACCAATGTAACTAAATGTTCAAAATCTTGCTTGGACATTCGCAAGAAATTTGTCACGTCTTCTTCGAACCTCACGTCTTCTAGGAGTCTGTTCCCATATTCCAACCGATTTCGATAAACTTTTTTGACCCACCAACGGGGCTTACGTCGCCTTTTCCGTTGTTTTTTTCTAATAATAATCGTCGCCATCACAATAAAAGCAGCGGCAGTAACTTGCACATTTCTTAACAACAAAGACATTGTAACGACTTGTATAGACTGCCTTCACTACGAATGTGGGTGGTTCGCGTGCTCGCACTGAGCATTTGTGGTTACAAACTAGCTGAAGAGCGTATGCCTCACCCTGAGGCAGATGGCGTGAGGCATTCGCTGCGAGCAGCCTCGCACTGTCGATACTAGGTAAGAGTACGCACTTAGTAAATAATGTGCAATAATTATTTTGTTTTCAATACAAGCATCGTTATTTTGAGCAACAATCGAGAATATTTACTAAGCAACCTATTTTCAGCTATTTGTGGGTTGCGCTTTCACTAAAATATGAAATAATTAACTTTTTTTAGAACTCAACAAATGCTCTTATGCACGTATTTGTATAAGAGTACGCGCACCAGTGCTCAAGAGTACGCAACGTACAGACAAAACGTTTTACTTACCATAATGTAGATGATAGAAAGAAGACTACTGGCTAAGTATTATAAAACCATTATGAAGATATACATAACGTCCATAACTTAAATTTTACAAATTCATTTAAGAAAAGCAAATTGGTAGGCAGCTATTTGAAAATCTTTTTTGATAATTCCATAAAACCGTTCATCTAATTCTCGTATTTCCCATTTCATTTGCTATATCCAGCCTCAATTTTGGCCCTAATTTCGCGTAAATTTTCTTCGGTAAATACCAACTTCGTATCACTCTTCCGTTTATACCGACTCATTTCTTCAACTGCAAAAACCGAGTCAAAATGCTAATTACCACATTCTGGAACACAGTATGATTACAGCATATGTTTGATGTGCATAAGAGTACGCGCGTACTCTTATGCATTTTGAAATGCGTACTCTTACACTCAATTGCAACGTTTGTTGTTAATAATAATATCTTTGAGAAAGTAACATTTTTAAGCAATTTATGTTTTTGATCTATAATATACAACCCCAAATCATAATAACAGACATCTTAGACTAGACCTATGAAAAGATGATATCCTTACCTTTACAATACTAATATTTGACTACACGAACTTACCACAATGGCGTTTGGAAACTTACATCGATTGTATTTTACAATAGGTATCGCTAATAAAGATTTCTGTTTGTATTTCTGTAACAGTATGTTTTCTATTGTACATCTAATTATATAAATGATTTAAAAAATGGCAGCATCACAAGATTCTGTAGGTGCGTACTCTTATAGTATACACATTTACCCTAAATCTACAAATGCTTCATACGAAATCAGAAATGTGAAACCTGTTTTCAAGCTAAACCATCGCGCTTTGTGTGCCGTAAGTAGTCCTCTATCTTCTTCAGTTTGGTACATTAACAGCGGTAGTTCTGGTCATAAGACTGGAAACCGGGAGCTATTAATAATAAATTTAGTGACAAAAGTGATGGACGAGAAATATATCTTGCCAACAACGAAAAATTGATCTGCCAAGGTACAGGTGCAACAACAGTTAAGCTTGACGACTGAAAGTGAAAGGACAATGACTGACATAATCGCTTTTCATTCACATAGAATAGCAGCTATCGGTGACTGGGCTTATAGCAAATAGCAATGCGTTCCATTCACCTTAGGCGACAAGCCACAAACCTCACTTTAGTTTCTTACCTCTTTCCCCTCAAGCCCGAAACATGTTTTTGAGCTTGTGGCAAATATTTAATTAGCCATAAGTATGAGTATTACAGTCCAAAATAAGTGGAACAGCTTAATAAAACGCTATAGGAAGGCAAAGGATAACAAGAACAAGTTGTTTATTTATATTGCCTAATTAGATCGGTAAGGAGCTCGCGTCGCTCACTCCGACCGATTACAGCGTTTTGCTAGCAAACGCCGTTTTTTATTGTTTCCCGTTTGTCAATTTTTTTTGTTCGACTGTTGTGAGATGGTAGTTTGGGTTGTTTTTTAAGTAACGTTGGAATTATTTTCTAAAATGCGAAGAACAATGCAAAATAATTTTGATTCGGCTCAAAAAAGCACCAATACATCGATAGTCTTTTTTTTAGTCAAACTCGGCGTATAGGTTGGTTGCTTCACATTTTAAGACTTCGCTAGCGTTAGTTGATTTCACACGAATTTCGCCGAAAATGGGGTATTTTTTACGTTTGTGTCATTTTTTCGGTGTAATATATACTTATTCGGTTTTGGATACTGTGTGCTATTTTGTTTCGTTACATGCTATAGGTGACATGATTCTATCTTAATTGTGTACCAATTCTTTGTCATTTATTTAATTATATAAATAAGGAACTGAAGTTATGCGCAGTACCTTTTTCGTATGCATTTTGTTTGTTTTTATTAATAATAATAATAATATTTATTCCTCTACTGTTTTACAAGTAGTATATTTACAAACATAAACAAAAATTAATATGCAAAACAGCCAAGCCATATAAGGCGTAGAGGAAAAAAAACTCGAGTACGTTATATATATATATATATATATATATATATATATATATATATACAGGGTGATTCCTATAGTACCTGCCCCGTTTGGGAGCCATAGGAGCGTATAGGGGGGCCTGAGGGGAGTATGATTTGATATAGGACACTTGGGGTCGGAAATCTAAAATAAGGGCGCCAGAACCAAATTTATCTTCTGGAATTTCACGCCTGTATGTAGGCAACCCAACCGACCGACGTTTCGCGCGGAGCGTGCAGAGCGAGTTAGCGCGAGGAAGCGACATGGGAGGGAAGGAGGGAAAACGACAGTCAAAAGCAATAACGTTTAAAGTGTTCAACGTGGCCACCGTTGTTCTCAATGCACTTCCTACATCTAGCCAACTATTATTATACTATTGCCATAGTGTTTATTCACTTGATACGCGTCGTTGCAGACGGGAGTTCGTGGGGGTTAAACAAAATTCTGATCAAGTGTCAGCCACACATCGCCGCCTGAGATCGCTCCGTGTGCACCGCCGGCCGGTTGGGTTGCCTACCTACAGGCGCGAAATTCCAGAAGGTAAATTTGGATCTGGCACCCTTATTTTAGATTTCCGACCCCAAGTGTACCTATATTCAAAATACTCCCCTACGGCACCACGCTACCGCTCCCAAACGGTGGCAGGGTACTATTAGGAACACCCTGTATATATATGAGAATAATTAAATGAACTAAATGGAAATAATTAAACAAAAATAAAAAATAAGGAATTATATTAACCGGTTGTACTTGAAAAAAACTCATCCAGTGAATAAAACTCATTTTGTTTTAGCCACGATTTAAGTTTGCTTTTGAATTTATTCATAGACTGTAAATTTGTAATATGTGACGGCAACTTATTGAATATTTTAAGGCCCTGGTATATTGGAAAATTTTGTAATTGAGTACTATGTACCTTAGGTAAACGAAGTTGAGTGTTTGTTCTAGTTTTGTGCTCATGTACATCTGACGGCTTAATATAGTTTTGTTTATTATTATAAATTTGTAGAGATATTCTAAAAATGTAGAGATTTGTTAATGTAAAAAGTTGCATGAAACAAAACTTTCCTCTGCAAGAATCTAAACGGTTCATATTGAGAATCGCTCGCTTTTGCAATTTAAACGGAATATATCCTTTACGCTTTTAATAAGAAAAATCGACTTAGCTAGTTTGAAGCAAAGGTCTTCTATATGCGGTGCCCAAGAGAAGGTATCGTCAATTGTAATGCCAAGAAATTTGGTGCATGAGAACGGTTTAATGTGATTGTTATCTAGAGTTATATCGGGACAGTTGATTTGTACATTCGATGAATAAAAAAAGATGTAGCATGACTTGTTGATATTTAAGAACAGCTTATGATGATTCATTCAACTGTTAATTTGTCCAATGATATGGTTAGCGTGTAATAAGAGTGTGTTATAGCAAGTGTTGTGAATGATCAGGGAAGTGTCATCTGCAAATAAGGTAAATTTAACAGTGGGGAATGAAGCAACTAAGTCGTTGATATACATTAGGAATAGAAGTGGACAAAGTACGCTTCCTTGCGGAACACCACATTTAACCGTTCTGTATCCGAATTGGAAGGTATCTATGATGCCAGTATTTGTTAAATATTTAATTTCACACAATTGTTGTCTATTTTCAAGGTAGGAAGTAAACCACAGTTTCGCCACTCCTCTGACCCCAAGCTTTTCAAGTTTTTGTAGTAACAGCTCATGCGAAACACAATCGAAGGCTTTTGAAAGGTCGCAGAAAATCCCTATAGTGAACTGTCTCAGAGACATCGAATCGAAGATATCCTGCATGAAATTCCATACTGCAGCTGAGGTATTTTTATTTTTTTGAAAACCAAATTGTTTTTTTTTGAGTAACCTATTTTTTTGAATACATTGAGATAAGCGAGTTTTCATAGCAGTTTCAATTATTTTTGATATTACTGATAGTAGTGATATTGGCCGGTAGTTGTTAATATCTGTTTTACAGCCTTTCTTAAAAAGTGGTTTTATGACTGCCAGTTTAAGCAGGTCAGGGAAAATTCCATTTGAGAAGGAGGGGTTTATAATGTTTTCTAGGGGGAATTTAAAAACTTCTACCGATTCTTTAATGAGCAGTAAACTAACATCATCAACAGCAGTAGAAAATTTGTTTGACAATGACTGTATAATATCCGCTGTTTCCTGATGGGTAACAGGGCTTAGAAAGAACGAGTTATGAGAATGAGTTAATTCAGAAAAGCATGGTTGGTCGTTCGACAGATTACTTGATATATGAAAAGCCGTATCAGAGAAATGTTTATTAAATAGCGAAGCTATTTCGTTTGGACAAGAAGTGGTGTTATTTCTATCCAGTTGGAGCTTAATATTTTCAAACAGTTTAGTGTTTTGCTTTATAATTTCCCATGCGGCTTTCGGTTTATTTTGAGAATTTGCAATTAAATTCGTAAAGTACGATACGCGTGCAACTGCTATGGTGTTCTTAAGTAGTGTAACATATCGTTGGACATAATTATGAAAATGTTGACTGGTACTGTAATGTCTCATCTCTACCAGCCCCATCTCTTATTTCGACAGGATGTCTTGATTCCTTTAGTGATCCACTTCAACTTCTTAACAGTTTTATTATTATAGGATTTCAGAGGAAAAGCAGCATCTGAGCATGACTTGTAATTGGAATAAAATATGTCAAGTTTAGCGTTAACATCATTGTTGATATATCTGGATTTTGAAACAATTAAAGAAGGGGTACTCTCAATGATGCTTTCCGAACTCAAAATCTGGCAATGGTGATCCGAAAGACCAGTAAAAATATTCTGGGAATCAAATGTTTTCGAAGGAATATTTGTAATGATATCGATTAGGGTGGAAGAAACAGAAGTAACTCTAGTTGGACAGTGTATAGTTGGCCGAAAATTTAATGAGGTTAATAAATTGATAAATTCTAATTTTGCGTACGAATTTTCAAGCAGGTTAATGTTATAATCGCCGCAGATAACAACCCATAACTTTAAACTAGTTAGTCTACCTAAAAGTAAGGCTAAAAGTTCAAAAAACTGATCAATACTCCCCTCTGGGGAACGATACATACATACCACGATAAGCTTACCAAGTCTGACAGCAACATATTCAAAACTTTTTTCTAAAATCGGTACATCTAGAATAAACTTCTTAAAGTTATAATCAATTCTCGAGAATATGATAACTCCTCCATTTTTATATTCAGTTCTACAAAAACTGGCAGCACAAAAATAGTTATCGATTGCTATATTACTTACCTCGTGATTTTTTAACCAATGTTCAGAAATACATATGACAATTACATTTATTCCTAGAGATTTACAATTTTCTAAAAAAAGTGATAGTTCCTGAATTTTGGGTTTTATTGCTTGTATGTTATGATGTATTATCGATAAGGGTTTGTAACCGCTCCCCTTCTCCTATTGCGAAGATGTCAACGGCTTGGTTCCTGATTTGCTTCTGGTAATGATGTCGTTGTGCGTTACTTCAGGAGAGAAATCAGTAGCTTGTAAAACTTGATTTGCGGGAAGATCATCCACAGTGTATTTGCGACCGTTAATGTACAGCATATCAAATTTTAAATGAGCGCGTTTTCCTTCACTTTTGGCCTGCATTAGGTAAGGCTTCAAAAGTGATCGTTTTTGTAGAATATGTTTTGAGAAATCTTCAGACACAGATACAGGAGTGTTTTTTAGCTTGAAAGCATTCCTTACAATGAAATCCTTCACCTTAAAGTTATTGAATTTGATAATAATGGGACGTGAAGTTCTTACATTCGTGGCTAATCTGTGAGCCCGCTCGATATCTTTATCACCCAGTGATATTTTATATTGTGAGTCGATAATTTGGCGAACTTTGGCTTCCGTGTCTTCTTTGGCGTCTTCTTTAACATTATAAAAGATAACGTTGTTACGTCTAGACTGGTTTTCGAGATAGTCGATTTTCTTCTCCATTTGTTGCATTTGTGTACGCAGATTGGAGTTTTCGGTTTTTAAATTCTCAATTGTTGCTGATAAGATTGCGATGTTGCGGATTGCTGTATCACTTTTATTTTCGAGTAGGTCAAGTTTGGATAATACTAGATCTAATTTAGCTTCCATAGTGATATTCACTTGCACTAACAATAGAATAGGACATACGGAAATGCGACTGCACTGTTTGAAGGATTGCACTCGAATTAGAGACAATTACCATAGAAATTTGGATTCAATTGCTCCATATATAAGAATCTTGCATTTTGCGCGTGTCCGGTACGATTTTTTGAGCATGTGTTTTAATTGATTTATTTAGGGAGACCTACAGTTAACATTTCGTTTAAATTGTCTCATAGATAAAAAGTTTCGTTTTGCACATGCGCAATACTATTCAAATTTCGTTGAAGTTGCTGTATAAATAAGAAAATTGCGTTTTGTATTTTGTTATTAGAGGAGTCTATCAATTTATCTTACGCATTTGTACTAGATCTATTTTCTCGTCACGATAATTAAAAAAAAATACATAGAACAAACAATTACTGTACATATAAACTTACGCTTCGTAATATTCGTAGATTATTTAGTAGGTATTATTATAGCTTATAAGTGCATGGGCCAAATCATATTGGACCGTAGAGATAAAAATTGCTTTGTTCTAAATTCCTGATGTAATTGTTGAAGTTATTTGATTTTTCCCAGTGGTCTTTTTTTGCAATCTTGCCACGAGTGGCACAGTAAATAAAAGTGTAAGCTGAAATTATTGGAGTCCAGTAAGTCTTTAGATTCACTGGAAAAGAAAAAAATGCATGTATAGAAAATTTAATTAAAGAACTATGAAGAATTACAAAACTAAATGAAATGAAAAAAATACAGAAACAAAATTAAATGATTAACTTAATTAAAGAACAATGAAGAATTACAAAACTAAATGAAATTAAAAAATATAGAAACAAAATTAGATTAATGAAGAAGAAGAAAGATGAAATACAAAAAAAAAGTACAGAAACAGAAAACTTAAAATTAATTCCTTTGTCTGGAATAAGGCTTGTTTTTTTCCAGTAAACGATAAGTTAGAATTTTCATTTGATTGCTTGGAACTTACCATTTGGGGGTAAAATTTTGTTGCCGCTGTAAATTTGTATCGAATTAAAAGGTGTGATCAAAATGAAACGTATATTTACCTTTTTTTATGGAGTCCTTGCAAATAAGGACCCTATAATTCGTTTGCTGGAGAATGTATTTTAGCATTTTTTTAATAATTGTGGGGTCTAAATTTGTCCCCACACCGGGAATTGTCGCAATTTTATGTTTGAAATTTGTTGCGATGAAAGAAGTCATTAAATTTTTCAAGCAGTTGTATGCTCAATTCTTCGTTCGGCTCGAGAAACAGTAAAGACAATTTTCACGTTTGAAAGTTAAAAAGTAGACAGTATGTTTGATTTTGAATAAATTGTAATTTACACATTTTATATAATTTTTGTTTATAACAATGAATTTAGCTTTAAAGCAGACATTTAATGAAAACATACTCACAATTCTATGCAAAGTTAAAAATTTTATTTCTGTAAGGAAGATTGAACGTGCTCATATCCAATTCATCTACGTTGGAGAATGGTAGGTCCCGTCCCTCACCAACATAAACATTTAAAAAATGCTGATAATCGTCGTTAATCTGAAAAATCAAAAATTTTAAGGAAAGGAAAGAAAAGTACAGTACGTGGATTGGAATTAAGCGGTATGCTTTCAATGTTGTAGTATTAGTTGCGTAAGTCTTGGACTAAAGTAAAGTTGTGTGAACGTGAATCGAATCGCATAAAAAGTTTCCGGAAAAGCTATGTAGAATGGAAAATTTTTAAATATTTTTTATATCCTTTATACATCTGCAAATATGAATATGTTTGTTTTTTTTTTGGTTTAAAAAGGAAATTAGCCAATTTGAAAGTTTTATTGTTACAGGAAGTGTAGCCACTTGTTGAGACAATGGCACAGATAGCGTTTATCATAAATGTAGTTAACGTTAATTATAATAAAAAAGCATTATGCGGGTCACTCTGTAATTCGCCCAATTACAGAGTGAGGCCCTCAACAGGTTTACGCCCTAAACCTGTTGAGGGCCTAGAACAAGAGGGACAATAAATAAATAAATAATGTACCGTACACGGGGGCTTCGATAACAAAGAATTTGATTGTAAGTGGACTGTAATTATGAATTACTTCCAAGGCCTTGTTTATGCTGGGAATGAAAGAATATAGACACATAATATAAACGTGTTTATTATCAAAAATACAAAGTAAATGAATTTCTATTGAACATGGTTGACGTAGGCACGACGGCTACTAGAATATGGTAAAGTTACGAAGGGATAATGTAAACAAAGGAACTTACGTGATGTTTCGAAGTCCATTAACAACGACGGCGATATTGCAATGGCGAGAATTGCTCTTTTCTACGAATTTGTCGATTTTGTTACAACGAAATCTTCTTATGTGCGGTGCTTTGACGTTCTGCTTGTTAACAATGATGTTGCGAACTGCACGGCAACATCTTGACTTGTTGTGGATCGATAGACATCTCAGTGTTGCCAGGTGGGAAAAACATTTTTCACCTAAAGCCATGTACAAAAATCACCAGTTTTTACTGCAAAATCACCAAAAGTATATTACCAGTAAAAGGAATTAAGGATGGTATTCTACAGTACACAAAACTTTTAAATTTTTATTTATAAAAAAAGAGTAACACAAACACAACAGTAATTATTAATTCTAACTTAAAAGGATGGTATTCACAAAACTTAAATATTTTATTTATAGAAAAATAGTAACAGATAACAGTAATTCGGTGATTATTTATTAATTATAACCTATTTACTCATACATTGTGTTGTTATGTTTTTTAACAAGATTTTTATTAATGGTATAATCGTAACAATTTTTTTGACTACCGTTAATTAGAGTTTTCGAATGCATAATGCCAGTTAAAGTACTCGCTTGCAAACGATTTCTAATTTTTGTTTTATTTAAATTGATCTGCGAGAATACTCTTTCAACTGTGGCACTGCTATGAGGCAAACAGTAAATTAATGCTACTGTTTTAATTAACATAGCAAACATTAGGGTATTGTCGCCTTTTTTAATCTTTGCGACTTCAGTTTCAGCAAATTGCAAGCAAATTTCACCAAATTACAACAATATTCACCAAATCACTACCAAAGACTGTAATTCACCAGATCTGGTGAAAATTCACCAGAACTGGCAACACTGTATTATCAGTAAGATCAGGATTTTTTTTCAGGGTATCTTTTGAATTCGTTGGCACCATTGTCTCATTAAATAGTATATCAGCTGAAGCCAGTTTTCTTGACCTGTTCATACGCTTAGACATTTTGTACCCCCGTCTAAGCCTTCAGGAGTATAACAAAATCATTACAAATTTACTAGGTACCTACATATTACAACAATTACTTTTGGTGAGTTTTAATAGCAACGAGCAAGTTTGTTGACTAGGCAGTAATCTCGCGCTCTCTAATAATTATTGACGGCAAAGAGAGAATAGTAAGTACCTCTCGTATAGGTGCTCGTATTTAGTAGTATCAAGACTAGTAAGTGATTTTTACCGGTCAATAGGACAAAACTGTGTTGAATTTTAACGAGCTTTATTCAATTTTGACTATTGAGAGCGCTGACAACGCGCCCACGCAGAATCGGCGATTGAGAATCAATCTGACAGCTAAACCTTAATAATGAAAAATTTAGAAAATTTTATGCTCTTTTCATACATAAACAATATCTACGAAAAGTTAATAGTTTTAGAGATATTTTAGAAAATTCGAGAAAAACGTCATTTTTTTTATTTTTTGACTAAAAAAAGGAGTTTCCGGTTAAAATTTGAGGTGGCAAAACTTAAATTCGTGTTCAGCACCCTAAAAAACATACCTACAGAAACGAAATTTGAAAACTCCACCAAAACTTTCCCCTATTTACCCTTTTTGAGCACCAACACCAAACAACATTAAAAAAGGATTTGAATCAACCGGCATCTTTCCAGTGAACTCCAACATTTTCCCTGAAACAGAATTCAATACCTCATTGCTAATAAAATATAAAAAAAAACTAAAGCATCTGTGGCTCCGAGTTCTACATTATCGACCGATGGCCCATCATCTTCTCGCACATATTCAAATCTTTCCGAAGTTATTCCTGTTTTAGATGAAATTGCGATTACAGTTCCGGTTCATTCAACTAAAAAAAAAACATTAACAACTTGGTAAATGCTCTTCAAATTGAAAAACAAATGTCACAATATAGCGACATCGAAGACGAAAACCTCAACGAGCAAAGAAAATTATTAAATCGCAAACATCCTGTTGCCGGACATCATCAAATTATAATGCTTATTACTATATTTTAATCTAAAAACATCCATTTTGAACACAAAAAAATACGCATAGATAATGTTATTTATTTGTATATTTTACGTATAGGTTATGTAGCAGATGTGTTGTGCTGTAGACGCCAGACGCCACGCCAGCAATTCGACCAACAAACTCCTACCAACCTATGTGGTGTGAGAGAAGGGTAAGGAATATTGCTATTCTGAAGTAAGGTAGAATGAAGTATGCAGCACTGTTACATATACTTACTGTTCCAGTAACATTACAGCTAAAATAACAGTTATTTAGCTACCTCAGCGTTATAGTGGTTTATTGAATCTGCCGCAGTATTACTGCAGCTAATTATTCTCTGCCACAGCTAAATCTTGGAACAAATGCTACTTGGGAGCCGTTATACTGCCATAATATAAAGATTTGTTCAATAAAACGTTTAGTTATTTTCTTACGTTACTATGGTTTTCATCTTGAAACTGCTGTAATGTATACTCGACTATAGTGCCAAGCGTACCCTTATTGGTATCCTCAAGACTCATTTATGGTGGGATGATCAGGCTGTAAATAATAATAGTATATATATTAAGAAATCAACATTGTGCTGTGTCTAGATGTGTTGATTGGTTAATGTTTTTATTCTATGGCCTACCTCTAAAATCTCAACATCTTCAACGGTTTCTACTACAGTTTCTCTAGTTGCAAGATAAAATCTTAGTTTAGACAAACCAGTCTTTTCCAATA